TATGTATGTATGTAAATATGTATATAGAGATTTCGATATATAGATATATAGAACTAGGTACAAATATAGAAACAGGTATAGGTATGGATAAAGATATAGGTATGGCTATAGCCATGCAGCTATACCTGTAGATGTAGATACAGATACAAATGCAGATGCAGATGCGGATACATACACATGCTGACCCGATACATATGCGTATCTAGGAAATTTAGAGGCCGGTTTTGTCGAGACTGCGGTTGGCGATTGCGGCAGCATCTTTCAACGAAGCTGGAGGTGCTCATTGAGGTGCCCAGCCAAGTGAGCTACTGCCATGTGACTGAAGATCGAGGGCTGCAGATATCCAAAGCCTTCAGCCCCTGAACTTCTGTTTCAGGATTTCCGTTGTTGCAGCGCTCACTCAGCCCGACTCAGCCCACTGCGAGGAAACACACCCCTTGGTCCCACACAAACTGCACGGAATTCATGAAACCTGTACATGCAGTACCCTAAACCCTTTTGCAGCAGGCTTGCCTCGACGCCCGGGGGCTCCCTCTGCTGTACCCTAAACCCTAAACCCTAAACCCTAAACCCCTAAACCCTAAACCCCTAAACCCTAAACCCTAACAACCGGATACTCAACACCACAGTCTCGATCTTCTTTTCCGGCACCCCTGGCAGTCCTCGTTGATGCTGCTCACAACGGTCCTGCCGCGCGGCAGCCGCAAGATCGATCTGCCAAAGCCTTGCACGCAACGGGGGTGGGTTTAGGGTTTAGGGTTTAGGGTTTAGGGTTTAGGGTTTAGGGCTGGTATGATCTTCAGTGCTATTTGGCCAACGTGACAAGAAGTGAAACCCAACCAAGGAACGGATGTTACTCTGGAGTCCATGCTGTCAAGTGGTTGAAGCGGTACTGCGGCTGAACTTACTCTGGAGCTGAACGCTCCCAAAACATAACGCTCGTCCAAGCATCTTCTTTGAGATCCTGGACGACTGGCAGTCTTGTTCTCATGTGAGGTGGCATTACTCCTGAACTTAGAGCCGTCGTTTCTGAGACTCTTCGAAACATCGACTCCTGTGCCACTTTAACCAACATGTCCGCATGACTCTGCGATGGAACATAATGATACTAATGCCACCCGCTGCATGTGGCACTCGCTAGAAAAGCAGCACGGCGACCTGGCAGCGAATGCACCAACCTCTACCTGCACAAACCGAGTCGAGCAGCTGCAGACGTTCTGCAGCTCCGCTGCAATATGGCAGGCCCAAATGGTCAGCGCCATACTGGAGAGCACCTACAGCTGTGGGCTGTCACGAGACACCCCCTGCGTGGAGAGATGTGGTTCCGAGTTGGGCGTCACACATCCTCAAACTCCAGGTTCAGGTTTTGGGCTTTGTAGGGCTTGTGCTCTAAATCCGGCGGGTCACGACACCCACCGAGAAGCCGCCACTCCCCGGAAAGATGGGCGTCAGATAGGCATTGACCTGCAGCGCAAACGCACTTTGTCTTTGCGCGATAAGGCCTGGAACTGGAAAAGAAACCGTGAAGTTGATTAGGCCCAGCCGGGCTCGCAAAGCTTTCAGCAAGCCATTGCAGCATACAAGCTTTCGCACCCTCCCTGGTAGGTACGACAAGAAGGCTGCATGACCTTTAGCAATCCGTCCCTGGTACTGTAAAAAAAGACTTCTTTTTGGATGCGCAGGGGGCTCGTCTGCTTGCAAAGAACACACGATCATAAGATGGGCTTCCTGTGTCACTGCATTGGATTTTATTAGCTCTATGCGGCCGGCTATAGCATCCAAGCCATGTTCTGGAAGTTGCAGAGTCCTCATGCGACCGTAAATCGGAACCCAGCAGCCCTATCGACCGCACTTATTTTACAAGCGTGCTTCGAAACGGGATCGTGCGCGACAGCTCAGGATTTCAGGCTTCAGCACCACCCTAAACCCTAAAACCTAAACCCAGCACAAGAAGACTGAAGCCCTCAACTCCCAACCCCCGAGACGATGGCCATAAGATGTAGGCTTTACATTCGGCGCTCACAGCTGGGACAATCCAAACCAAGCATGTGTCTGTCTGTAGGGCGGACGGATGGTCGAGAAAACCAATGGCGGGCATATCAGAAACACGGATCGGTTTAGCGTTTCAGGATTTGCAGTTTGGGGTGTAAGCGTTCGGGGTGCACGGCTTAAGGCGGTATAAGGAGTTTAGGAGTTTTTAGGAGCTCGGAACTGCTTTTGCCTCAGAAGATTCTGAGTTCTCCAAGAGCAGCGCTGGGTGAGGGTTCGACTGAGACCTATTTCGGAGTGGACTTGTCCCCTCGAACCGTCTCTTGAGCCACAGAAGCTCAGGGTCTGGGGTTTTGGGTCGTGTCTGGGGGTTTGGGGCTTTGTTTGTATACTGTAGGGGCCTTAATAATTTAAAATGGGGTCTGGGGGCCCAATATACTATAACTATAATAAGGAACCCCCAAAATAGTATAGGTAATTATTCAAGCCCCTCTATTAGGGGTTTCGAGTTTAGGGCCTCGTCAACTCAGTGACGGATTCTGAAACTGCTCAAACCGACCTCGTTCAACAGGGCATTGTTCCACCACTCGCGCTCGAAGGGCTTGCCCTGCATTGCTGGCTCTTGTTGAGGAGCTTTATTTATTCAGTTAACATAATGGGATCTACAGTCAATAAAATGATCTTGTTTCCTTAGTGTGATTTATTCAGTTAACATAATGGGATCTATAGTTAATGCTATGATCTGACTTCCTTATTGTGGAAAGTTAAAGTAACTCCCTTAGCAAGAAATTTGTCTCGCTCGTGAGTTGAACGCCGGGCTGGGGAGCTGACGGACATGTTTCCCCCAGTCGCAAACGGGAAAGTAGAAGGCTTTGAAGTCGAAGCAAGCTCTCTGCGAGGGCAGAACATAGATGGAGTAACAAGGGTAACAAGGCCAACAACAGCACGAAAAGTCCTGACAAGTCATTATAAACAATAGCCTTACACCCTGCTGGCGCTCAGCCCAGTGCCATGCAACTGAACGGATCTTCGTGGGCTGCAGCTGTCTGCAGCTGTCTGAAGCATGGATGTACCATCACACCAACCCGCCATGAATCGAGAGAACGGGGCAAATTTTGGCCCTTGTCGGACACGAATCTCGCTCTCGCGGTCTCGCTCTGCCCTCTCTCACAGTCTCGCTCTCTCCCTATGTCCCTCTCCCTCTTCCTTTCCCTTCTTTCCCTTCCCGTCCCTTCCCTTCCCTCCCTCGCTCTCTTTCTCTTTTCCTTCTCTTTCTCTGTATCTCTCTGTCTCTCTCTCTCTCTCTGCCCCTCTCCCTCAAATCCCCAAACCCCCACACTCAAAGTCCAGAGCAGAGGCCCTGAACCTTTGAGCCCCTAAGCCCTAAACCCCCAAACCTCCCAAGCCTCCAGAGCCCAAGCCCTGCAGTTCCGTTCGGACTTGGCCTGGCAGATTTTGGAGACCAGCGAGGCCCCTGAGACTTTGTCATAGAAGCTGACACTGTGGCCGTACCTGGACCCCCAAAGTATGCAGAATGATAGCCTTTTTATGGGTCTTGGGCCATTACTTTACCTACTGTTGGGGATTTAGGTACCTCATACAGGGTTTCGACTCTCACTCTTGCACAAGGCAGGCAAGGCTCCACATAGGGCCTAGGGCTTAGGGGCTATCGCTTTGGGTCTATAGGGTTTAAGTTTACAGTCCTCCCACATTCTGTGTGTTGAAGGCTCTTTTCCTCCTGCTTAGTCGGAATACGACTCTTGTGGAGCCAAGGTGACAACCGGTAAGTAGCTGAGAACATACAGGGCTAAGGGGTTAGGGTTTGGGTTTACGGTTTAACGTCAAAGTGCTGAGAACAAATATTCACTATGGTGTAGATGAGAACTGATGTCACGCCCATTTTCAGTTGCCACATCTCGTTTCATGTCAGTACACAACAGTGTCCCCATTCTGGGAACATGAACTTCTTATGGCAAAGTCGCCCTGTCTCACCTGGTATATAAGTGCCGGAGACTTCACGCAAAGACTGAGCTCGGTGATGCTCTAAGACTGCTGGTGACGCTGCAGCTCTGACTAATAGTGGTCAGGGTTTACGGTGTTTTTCCCACCCGCTTCGCTGACTAGGGTTTAGGGTTTGGGGTCTAGGGTTTAGGGTTTAGGGTGGCAGCGGCAATCGCAGCCATGTGCGGAATGCGTCAAGGTTTCTACCTCAACATCTGCCGTCTGAAGTACACAACAGCAGCCAAGGCACAAGACTCGCCATTCCCTGAGGTATTCGAGGTCGTACTTCGAGTCAGGGGACAGGAAGGATATCATGATGATCCAGCAGAACCTCGTTCCCAGAAGACATGTTCATGCCATCATGCTTTGGCGTGTGTAGGGGAAGGAACAGAAGGGGCTCACATATATAGGAGTTGCCCTACACTAGTAAGCGCCAGTCTGGAGGCTCGTAATGGCGTAGAAACCCTGTTCAAATATGGTGGACCTTCAAGTGGAAGCATAATTCATAGCAAAGGCTTTCAGTGAAGTACAGTGAAGTCCACTGTGCCCCGCCACTGCGGGTCCCCTGCGAAGGAACCTGGAGCATGATACAAGTATCTTGATCAATGTAAGAGCTGACTTAAGGCACTGAAGCACTGCAGGATACTAATGCAGACCATGCATGGGGGGTCCCTCACTGAATTAACAGACTCAACAGCCATAGAAATCTTCTGGATTCTGTTGAGAAGTCTACCCATTGCGTGGTGCAGATGGGCAGTCAGGTAGTTGTCACACAGCTTCTAGCTACAGTTATAAAACTGGTTGCAAGGAACAGTGTGGCGCTTGACACCCTTATGTAGACCGACCCAATAGCCAAGTAGGGTGCAAGGACCACTGAGAACCACAGCCTCTACAGATGCGGCCGAGCCACAAGAGCTGCAAACTGAAACTGACCTTTCAACGCGCCGTTGTGCATGAAGGTTGCTATGTGCAGCTTTTCTAGCTGATATGCTGTACACGTCGGCGCAACGTGTGTGTGTGTGTGTGTGTGCAGTAACAGGGTGGGGTCTGTCCAGGCTGCAACGTGCGAAACTTGTTTATTAACAGTTACAAACAATCAAGGTCTCAAAGAATTGCTGGGCGACATTGGACCTGGCTCCCAAAGTCCCAAGTGTCAGTAGGCTGCAAAAGGCTGGAAGGCAGCACAGACTTCTTCATGTTCAACGGGCCGCTGTTTGTATGGGCGGGTCTAGGTTCAAGCAATTTTTCTACGGTTCGACGACCATGTCGGGCCTGAAGTCAACCGAGTCGTGGTGCAAGTGTTGACAAGGAAGGAATTCCGACCTACACATACAAAACATTAGAGTATGCAGCTCGTCAAACCGAATCTACTCGATCGAGAACCAGACGCAGCCTGTGAGGCATTAAACAACATACCGCGAACGTGGAATCGACAAGTTTGCAGCCCCAAGGGCGATCACCCCCAAGACGATCATCGCAGTGCCAGCCGGTCCGATCTCATCAAGACCTTGGCAAGAGCTTGTCAAGAGAAGCCAGGGTAGAGACATAACCTAAACCTTGCACAAGCGAACCTGCAATCACAACCGCTACATCCAAATTGCCAACTGCCTCGGTTACACCTTGGGACTCGAGACATCATGCCCACGTCTGACACATTCATAAATCCGCAGCACTACCATCAAACTGTGCTAACAGTTTCACTGGTGCTTGTGCTGATGACTGTGAAAAAGATGATTTATGGGCATGTCAACATCAGCATCGCTACCGTTCACGGCAGCATATACACCAAGACCGGGACTGTTACCACATATCTTGCACCATGCTCGCTGCTGCTCGCTATCACCACGACCGAACAGCAGGTCAGCGACAAGACTGCAAGGATACGGACAGCACACGCAACTGTCCTGATTCTCTTTGCGTTTAGCTTATGGAAACTAAATTTACAAACGTAAGAGTGGCAAGAAGACCGTTTTCTTGTGCCCACTTTGACTTTTAATTGCTGCAGAGCCGTGGAACATAAACGCGAATCCTAAGCCGTTTTAAACATAAGTAAAACCCTGGCTGGTCCCCGACATGATCTACGGTAAACCCGAAATCCCTAGCCAAGGAAGACTCCGAAACCCTAAGCCCGACATCCAATCACGTGACCTAAGACCCCCAAAACATCGCAAAGGTTTGCAAGCAGGACGCCAGCCAACAGCAGCGCATCCCAGAAGGACTCCTATCCGCCAGGCTAGTGGTTTCGTCTTAGGGTTTAGGGTCTAGAGGTTGAATCAGAGGTTTAGGGTTTCGGGTCCAGAGGGTTTTTAGGGTTTAGGGTCTGGAGGTTGAGTCCGAGGTTTAGGGCTTCGGTTCCAGAGGGTTTAGGGTCTAGGGTACAGAGGTTGAAGGCTTCGGGGCTTCAGGGGTTTAGGACCTGCATCGACGCTAAGGTGACCTAGCAAGCAGGTTGCAAGGAAAGCTTTGATCAGGACAATATAGGGGCCTTAATAATTAGATAGTGTTCTGGGGTATATTATACTATAATTAAAATAAGGAACCCACAAAACCCCTAATTGAAATTATTCCTACATTATCCACTGTTGGGGTACATATTACCCAAGAACGAACGACGTACTAAATCCCACGGCCCTATAGGTTTGAAGGGCACCCTGCGGAATGTCGAGTGGTCCATGGTAGCTCAAAGAAGGCTCAAGCTCTCAAGTCAAAATGTCAGCCCGCTTCTGCACCCAGTGCGGAGGGGCTGAAGATTTTCCGGACTCCTATATCGGTTTAGGGTTTAAGGTTTAGGAGTTTAGGGTTTAGGGTTTGGGTTGCCAGGAATAGGTAGCATTGAAAATAGTACTGTAACGATGATCATGATGTTCACACGTAAGCATACAAACACAGATGCATACGACATATACATATGCACACATCTGACACACATGTGTATCCACATCTAGCTCTATAAATGTTTAGCTATCTATCTACCTATCTGTCTGTCTGTCTATATCTACCTGTCTGCTTATAGAGCATGCAAGCCATAGTGATGACCGGGCGCCTTCTAGCTGCGGCTTATGGGTCGGAGGCCTTTGCTGGGAATCTCTGGATCGCCAACCGCCGTCTCCACTGAAAACCCTTACTCTGTTGCAGGCGTTCTAAAGGAGGAAGCTGGGTGACACTCTCTGGCTACAAGAAGCATCCCTGCACATCCCTGCCCTTTCTCCGGGCCTGGAGCTCATGATGAGTCTGGGTGTCGATGACGGAAGTGGTGGTAAGCTTCTTCCTGAGTCTCTTCAGCTCGACCGCTGCACCAAGCTCAAGAGAGGCAATCAGGCCTTTGGATCTCACAGATAATGTAGGTGCCTTAATAATTAGAATAGGGTTTTAGGGCCCATTCTACTATACCTATAAGGCACCTAAATCATTAGTTGGTTTCGGACCGTCAGGTTGGAGGGAGGATTTACATTCTCGAGCAGGATCATCGAGAGGGTCAGTAGGTCTACGTCTGTGCGAGAACCCAGGGCACTCTGTTATAGGGGTTTCATGCAAGGCCACGTTGCTTGCTAAGGTTGGGGGGGGTGGGCAGTGACGTTATGGGGTGTCGTCGTGTCATGCTTCCTATGCAAGATCGGGCACACACGCAGAGTGGTGTGTATGTATGCTGTAGGCAGGTATGCATGTATCCGTATATTTATCTGTATATGTATGTGAACCCTTGCGCTCACCATTTCCACAGACTCCATTCTTGATTTGTTTTATGACGCTTCTGTTCATGTTACTGCACCAAGAAGTCCTAATCAGATTCCGCGAAACCCAATAAAGCCAAAAGCCACAACCCCGGTGCTGCCGCGCCGAAACAGAGAAAGGCAGGTCTTACGACGGTACAAGTAACACTGTGGCAGCCCTCAAGCTCAAAGTGCAGCAATGCATCATCTGGCAGTCAGTCTTTGCTTTTGGCTTCCACTTGCCAGCTTCCTGAGTGCTAGGATTTGGTTCTCCTATGAAGTGAATACTGAACATTTCTAACAAAGGGCACATGCTGCAAACCTAACCTTCTGAACCATGAGAACTGACACCTGGAGCCTCCACTATTTAGGTCATGATTGTGCTGCACAGCCAGTCGCCCTCCCATGTCAAAGAGATACGAATACGCCACGTGGGATTATCCAAACTATGACAACTGATGACCTTTGTCAAGGTGCCTTGGGCCGTAATTAGCCTGTGGCTGTATGCATTAAGCTGAGGGTTTGCGGTTAGTTGCGACGTCCCCTTGTCTGTAGCAGCCACATGCAAGAGTAACAAGACGGCTTCAGAAGCGGGCAGGTGCCTTGGGTTCCGTGGAGAAGCCGCCTTCCGGCCCATGGAAACTTCATGGACATGATATGCTGTCATGTATGTGCCTGTTCTGAGGCCGCAGGCAGCAAGCTTCAATTTATTTGTATAAGTTTCAAACCGGAGTTGTCGTCAAGCCACAATAAGACCAGGGCAGCACTCGATTGCGCCGCTTGCTTCGCTTGTCTGCACAGAGCTGGTTTCGGGTTTGGGGCTCGGCTTGGTGTGTTGCCACGAAACAATTCAGCTGGATACAATATTCCACATGGAAGCTTCAGGCAACCAACGGCTACAATTAACATAAACCTAAAAATGGGATGGTAACAGTTGTAAGGGAGAACCCACAGTTCTCCCATGTGCCTGGCTGCTAAACAAGCATTACCTGATGGGTCTGAGTCCGGAAGTCTCGATGAGGAATGATCTGGTCACCCTGGTCACATGATGCACCATCCATTACGATGTAATGGATTAAGCTACCTCGTAGACTGAGCTGAATACTTGAGGCCGTTAATAATAGAGCATGGACCCAAAGCAAGTCACACAGGCCTGAAACTCACCAGCCGAACAACCGACACTGAAACCCTAAACCCTAAAACCTCAGATCCCTACACCCCTAAACCCCTACCAGTCAACACTGAACTTAAACCCTAAACCCTAAACCCAGAACCCTAAACCCTAAACCCTTGAGGTCACCTCCGCAGACTCGGCCAGCTCCCGATGCTCCCGCCCATGCGGCAAGTTGACCTCGGCCTGCTCCTCTGCGGATAGGACCCTGAAGCGCAGACCTTTTTTTTTGAGCAGGGACTGCAATGCATTAAGCCCTGAATCCCTGCATACCAGTTGAACAATAGCAACTTTTATAGGTGTTGGGCCATTATGTTGCCGCCTTTTGGGGGTTTACGGAAGAGGGTTTTTTAATAGTGCTCCTAACAAGCTTGAGGAACCTGTTGGCGTCGGTAAAGGTTGGCCCGTTAGGGCCTGGGAAAGATTTAGCAAGC